AGCTGCCGCAAGGTAAAATTGGTCTCCCATCGGGTCCTTGCGCAAGCCCGCGTCGACCAAGGCGCTGGCTAGCGCCGCGCGCGCCGCCGTCGAGACGTTGAAACTGTAGAGCGTGAGTTGGCCAGTCGTAATGGCGCACGTTGCCAGCAGCGGACTCAGTCGCTGTATCCAGCCGTCGCGACAACGGGTTGCAACGTCGATTGCCACGTAATCGAGAACGGGCATTCGGGCGATGACTGCCAATAGCGCTTCGGACGACGCTTCGTTGTACGCACCGCGTTGAAGCATCAGTTCGCGCAGCGAGGTGCAGCGCGGAAGCATCGACGCGAGCGCCAGTGCACCGGCGTCGTCGAGGCGCGTTGTTTTGATTCGCAGCGTCTCCAAAGCGGGCAGCAGCGGAAGAACTGCCGTGAGAGGCGCGATGTCGACGCCTCGCAATGAGTTGTCCTTGAGGTACAACAGCTTGAGGTGCTGCATCGTTGGCAAGGCCGCTGCGAGCTCGGCCACCAGCGTCGTCGAGCACAGCGTTTTCTTGCCTGCGAGATGGAGCGTCTCCAGATGGGTGGCCGAAGCGAGGGAGGCCACGAGGTAGCGGGCGAGTGTTGCTGTATTCGAGCGGCGTCGCGCGCCTTCGTCGCTGGTCCAGCGGAACGTGCGCAGCGTCGGCGGCAGTGGCTGCCCGAAAAGGCCGTGCGTGTTGAAGAACGTCACGTTCTTCAGGTCGACCGTTTCCAGTGTCGTCGAGCGCGAGATCGCCGACGCCAGCGCCGCACCGACGCCGTCACGACCGTTTTCATCGATCGCCACGCTCAAATGGTGTAGTCGGAGGTACGTGGCTGGCCCCGTCTCAACCCACTGGACGAGGCTCTTCACGCTCGATGCGGCGAGACGGTGCACGGTCTCCGAGCCATTGATGTCGACAAACGTGAGCTGCGGCATGCGGGGTGCAGCGCTGATAACGTCGTCAATACTGGCGAGAGCTCCGATGCTGTCGCTCGAGGTTTTGTATCGGATGTACAGCATGCGCACGCGGGGGCACGCGACGAGCGCGTCACGGAGCGCATTCGATTGGTTGGGAAGATCAAAGGCAGCGTCAGGCTCGAACGTGACCGACGTGACGAGGTGGGCGATGGCGTCGACGTACCGGTCCCACTGCGCCATGTTGCCGACGGTGACCGACACTTGCGGTGCGAACGGCGTCGCGGCAGCGTACGCAGCAATTGACGCCGGATCGACCTCGTAGTGATCGAATAAGCGCGTATCGAACGACATGCTCAGTCTGCAAAAACTCACAAAACCACAATGGCGCGTGCCGTCCGTCTTGCCCCAAATCCGGACGACGTCCATCGCTGGCGTATGCTCGGGCAGAACATCCAAAAATGCGACGAGCGCCGGTCGCGACGGGATGTACGCTGCAATGTGCTCGATCGTTTCGAGTGGTAGGCGCATCGAAAGACGTGGCCGGCGATGAATGGAGTAATGAGGGTTCGGAGATGCTAGATTGCCTATTTGGGAATGTAGGTCGCCTGTCAAAACCATCACTCATTGGACGGCACGCATGTTCGAGTGCACAACGCGTGACGGGTACAGCCAATCAGAAGCCAGGAACCGGGTTGCATCAACATCTCGATTTGATATCGGACAAAACAAGCTGTGAGCTTGCACGACGGAAACGACTTGAGTATTATAATAGTTGTCAGGTGGTACGTTACCGGGATTACTAGCACCCCATGGGTTCGGTTTCGACGTGGTCCATCGACAGGCTGCTTGATCGACCGACGATCCTTGGTTTCTTCCCACAACCGGTACTCCCGCGCGGTCAGGCCTCGGCGGAGCACGAGCTGGGGAGACCAATCGATGCACCGGAGGGCCACGTTGCGACTCAAGTATTAGTACTACTGTAGTCGACACATTGTAAAGTCCCGTACCGGTATTGCTGGTGTAGTATGCTATTGTGGCCAGCGCTCAAAGCGAGACACATTACCAGCAATATCGGTCGGTGTTAGTTGAACAACAAGCTACGGTCTTCCAACGAGATGGAACTGAATCGCTCCTGCGTCGCGTCATCGCTGCCACTCGGAGCCGCCACCCAGTAGGATGGGGCTTCCGAAAAGACCTCGCACAAACCCGCGTCGAACAAGACGCTTGCTAGCGCCGCAAGCGCGGGTGTCGAGACACTGGGACTGTAAAGCCAAACGCCCTCGGTCGTAATGACGCACGTTGCAAGCAGCTGACTCAGTCGCTGCATCCAGCCGTCGTTCCAACTTATGCGATGGCGGATCAATAGCGCTTCAGACGACGCTTCTTTGTACTCGCCGCCTTGCACCATCAACTGGCACAGTGAGGTGAAACGCGGAAGCATCCACCAGAGTCCTTGGGCACAATGTGCTGCTGCCAGCAAGCTGGAGCGACTCCAGTTGCGTGGCTGACGCGAGCGAAGCCCCGAGGTGGCGGGTGAGTGTCGCTGCTGTCAGGAGGCGTGGTGCGTGTTCGTCGCAGGCCCAAAAGAACACACGTGTCGTCGGCGGCTGCCCGAAAAGGCCATGCCTGTTGAAGAACGTCACGTTGTTCAAGTCGACCGTTTGCGTCGTTGAGCCCGAAATCGCTGCTGCCACCGCATGACGGTCACATTGTGTAGCCGGAGGCCAATGGCCGGAGGTAGTCGCCGGCCCCGTCTCGATCCACTGAGCAAGGCTGTTGACGCTTGATACGGCGAGACTGCCCCCGGTGTCCGAGCTCTCAGTATCGACATGGCAAAGGTGTGGAAGGTGGGGCGCAGCGCTGAAGACGCTGTCGACACATAGTCGCCCCAGACCGCGCACCGTCCCACGGTAGAGTGTGCCAGTGGCCCGATGGTTGTGCTGTTCAGGTGCAGCCATAGCGTTGAGAACGGTTGCCGGCATGGGTGTTGCACATTTTGCCCGTGATCCGAGAAAGCACATTTTGCCCGTGATCCGAGAAAGCACGTGCTTGCAGTTCTGCCTGCAGAACAAGGTGAAGCTCGACAACGTAGTCGCCCCGGCTAGAAATAGGTTTAGCTTCTTGTAGGTTAATTCACTCACACTTCATTTCGACTCCTTTTGAGCACTTGTCTTCCACCACCCTCGGTGCGCAGACGAAGCAGGCCTCAACAATGGGTACATGGACGTCAGCGCTGTCTAGACTGCAAGGCGGCTCGTAGCACACACGCTTGGCACCACTTTGTCGGTAGAGAGTTCTAAGAACACGAAAGGACACGAAAGACTAGTTCGGTTCACTGAGTTTGTGTAAACACGTACTGAAACGTGGTGCGAGCTGAGCTTGTTGCTGCTGTCGGAGGCAAAACTGTGATGTCAAAGACGAAACCGTGCGCCCAGTTGGCGTCCGTGAGCGTCTTCCAGTTGACGTCGTTGAAGGTGCAGACTATCGTCTTGTCGGCGTTGGTGACACCGCAGACGCGGCCGTCGCCGACCGCGTCTTCGCTGAGCGTTTCGCCAGTCTTGTCAAGCGAGCATTTCAAGAGCGCACCGGATGCGTCGCTTGGACAAGGATTTGATCTCCTCGGCACATTCCAATGCTGTCGCGTGACGCTCGCCGGCTGCATCGTCCAACTCACCGTCACGACAAGACAATATCGTTAACGTTATTGAGGAAAGAGCACTCGACTGGACAGCTCAATATAGCAACCATGGGGCGACGCCTCCGACGTGCGATCCGAAGGTACCCACGCAGTGTCTTCATTTCACCGCCGTTGCAGGCCACAAGTGTTGAGCGCGACCGCCAACGCGGAACACTCTTCTTTCATAGCAAATCGACCGTAGAGAGCCACTTGTTGCATCGTCCTGGCGCATTTTGCAAGCAGCGGGCTCAGGCGTTCGAGTCGCCCGGCGGTGCAGTCGCCAGCAACGTCGACGGCGAGGTGCTCGAGGCGCGGCATCGCGGCCGCCGTCGACAGCAGTGCCGCAGTAGACGCCTCGGTGTACGTTCCTCCGCCCACGAGCACCCGGCGCAGCGCGGCGCAGTGTGGCAGCACGGCAGCGAGGGCCGCGACACTCAAGTTGCTCAGTCGAGTGTTGTCAAGGTGCAGTGACGCCAGCGCTGGCATCATCGGACGCACGTCAAAGAGTTGCGGCATGCATGCGTTCTGAAAGACGATGCCGTCGAGGCTCAGTGTATGGAGTTGCGGCATGGAAGGCAGCGTGTGACTCAACACTCGATTGAGAAATGCTGGACGCAAGGCGCGTGTATATGTCACATGGAGCTCCTCCAAACGAGACGCCGGTGCAAGCGACTGCCCCAAGTTGTTGGCGACGACGTCCCCGAATGAAACTGTGTCCGTGAGCCCGACGTTGGACCAGCGAAAGACCCGCGTGGTCACCGGCAATGGCAATCCATGGAGCCCATGCACGTCAAAGTAGCGCAAGCTGTCGAGCTCGATGTATTCGAGCGTGGTCGACGCCGCCACCGCCTGCGCCAGCGCCTCGCCGAGCGTGTTCTTGCCCACATAGCACATGGTGAGGTCAGTCTTGAACAGGCACAGCGAGACCGCCGGGCGTGAGCGCAGCCACTGGATGATACGCTCGGTCGTCCGAGGCGTGAGCTTCGTCGTGGTACTGCCGCTACCAGCAATATCCAGACGCAGAATGCGCGGGTGTTGATCGATGATTGCGAGGATGTTGTTGACGTACGCCATGCTGCCCGTGTAGTCTTCGTAGTCGTATTGGATCGAGAAGGTCTCGAGTCGGGGGCACCCGGCCAAGGCATCGCAAAGCGCCGTCCCGTCGTCTGCGAGCACCGTTGCCATGTTGCCGGCGCGTTCCGAATGCAACACGGTTGTGTGCGTCACAAGGTGGGAAAACCGTAGCACGCGCCAAAGGCACTCGTGGAGGTTATGGACCGTGGCAGTGACCTTTGGCACGAACGGCGCGACGGCGGCGGCGTGCGTCGTGATGGGCGTCGCGCCATCTTTCATCTCGCGCGCTCGCACCCGTAGGAACGGCCAGCAGGCATCAATGCCGTCGTCCAGTGATGTGTGCACACGCCATTCTTCGCATGGCCGGCGTGTACGCTGGAAGCACATCCAGGAGCGTCCAGAGGTCGTCGGTCCATGGGAGAAACGCCGCGATGATCTCAATGCTCTCGATCGCGAGCGGTGACGAGGGCATATTACTGTGAATTTGCGTGCACGTTGTGAAATGCCGTCCCGACGACCATTTTCGAAGGGTCTCGAAACCACACATTGAGACGAGCTTCAACGTCTGCGCGTCTGAATCTGAATGAAATTTTTGCTCAGATTTGGTACAGCTCGAGGCGCACCTCTGGAAAATGTCTTCTTCCGGCAATTTCGTCGTTGGTGGCAGCCGGATGCGTGTGTGTTCTGTCGCAATTTGGTACCATCACTCGCCGCAGCTGCCGTTGACTGGGATCGCAGCTGCCGTTGATGGGCTTCCACAATGAACCATCACTCACGCACGACGCGACTAGCCACCTCAAATCACTAACTAAATGCACTTCCAGAGGTGATCAGCCGACTCGCAGATGACACCTTCGTGGCTTTTGCGCTTGGAGCATCGCCACCCGACGTCAATCCACGCATTTTACACGTAGGAAATCGATGCAGTTGGGAGCGCCATATATTGGCCGGCCCGGTGCTGCAACGACGTTGAGATTGCATTTCGTGTTGCCTATTGTCGAGTTGGCTACTGGGCCGACAGTCCTTGCAACTCCACTACTGGCATCGCCAACCCGTGATAAACGCATTTTACACGTAGGCAATCCAATTCCCTATTCCAAGGTGCTGGTGAAATGGCATCCGGATAAAATACGAAAAACAACTCCACCCACCATTTGTCCCGCAGATCTGATAGAAGCAGATCTGATTGAAGCATCGAATGAGAACCATCTATGAGTGTTGAGGACGTCGTCTATAATAAAGGAACTGCGCGTTGCTTGGCTTGGGCTCCCTGGACCTACTATAGCAATGGGTCGACAAGATATGGATATCGGAGGAAGTCGCCATGCTTGCGCGAGCTTGGGTGTCGGTGAGCACCAGCTCCGTTGAAGGCGCTGGCAAGAGGGCGGTTCAGTTATGAAACGAAGTCATAGCTCCCTTTCACGCACGGGGTGGTTGCGATTCGAGAACAGCCAGTGGCGCGAGCAAATAATGGTTGGGGAAATTTCAACTTGTGCGTGGTGTGGACTGCACGCCTGCGACAACCGCGCCAATGACCGACGACACCGCCGCATGGCGTCGCTTGTTGGTCCGGGAAAACACCTCGTGCACGAGCTCGTCATCGTCGTCGTCATCGAGCAAGAACTCGAGCCTGTGACGGTGCATGCGCGCTAAAACCGAAATGAGGTGTGCGCGCAAGAGAGCGATGGACAGGTGGAGATGGCAAACTTATTCCATTTTCACGAAAAGATTCACCAATCATAGCCCTCTGAAAAATTAGGAAATTGGACGTCGGATGGAGATGCTCTTATGTGGTTTTTTCCATTAGGGGAAGGGCAACTAGCTTATCTCCAGCTAGATATCACATACTTCGGCTGGGAGCGACGCTTCAGACCAGGCGCCTCTTCTCGCCTACTCAGCTCACGTCAACTTTTGCTTTGCGGAGTAACTCAATACAATGTCTGCTTTCCAGGAGACGACTCTCCCCTCACATCGTGCTTGAGTTTACCGCGGGCGTCACCACACATACAGATGATCATACGATGGGTGCTAGCATTAACGATTAGGATTAGGCGGCGCGCGCGAGGTTGGCGAGCGGCACCATGGTCATGGCCGCAAACGACGCCTAAGATGATAGAAGAATCACATCACACAATGATACTAGATAAAAAAGCCTACGGTCTCCCAACTTCTGTCTATAAATTTCCGCGATTGCGCAATCTGCCCTTCGAGACACTTGACGATCTCCTTGGCTTTCGGGCGCGACGCCGGGTCGTGGCGTAAGCACGCTTCCGTGAGCTGGCGGTACCACTCGTCGCACTTGGCCGAGAGCGTTGGCCGGAGCACGCCGTTGCGCACTTGATCGATGAGCGTCATCTGCCCGAGATGGACGTTCCAGTACGGCCGCTGGTACGTCTCAAGCTCCGTGAGAATGACGCCGAACGAGTAGACGTCGGCCGAGAAGTCATAGTGACCGCCATCAAACACCTCGGGCGCGATCCAGTGCCACGTGCCGACTGCCGATGTCATTGTGTGAATATCATACTGCCGCGAGATGCCGAGGTCGGCGAGCTTGATGTAGTTTGTCGAGCAGAGAAGTACGTTGTCCGACTTCAAATCCCGGTGCAGCAAGTTCTTTTCGTGGAGATCGCAGATCGCATTTGCAATGACCCATGCAATCTGCAGCGTCGAAAACTCGAGCGCGACTGGGAGACCGTCGCGCTTGCGGTTGAGGTAGTGTCGAAGGTTGCCGCTGTTCATGTACTCGAGCACCATCTTGGGCTCGTTCGTGTGGAGGCCGTAGGCCGCGAGGAGCTTGATGATGTACGGCGAGTTGCACCTAGGGTTCGGGGAGGTTAGGGTAATTCCATTTTGAGATGGCGAACCGAATGATGTTTTCAATCTCAATCTCCAGTGCCGCAATGCCTTCCTTGTCAAAGACGGTCTTGATGGCAACTTCGGTCGTTTTGTAGCGACCCTTGTACACGATTCCTTGGCCGCCGCGACCAATCGGCTGCTCGGACAAGAGTTCGATCTCGTCCAGTTCAATCTAACCCCATGCCCCATGAGCGTCTTCACCCGTAGCTCGTAGAGCGAACCTTGGGCGCCTCGAGAACGAGAATACTGTGGAGTTTCTGGGCAATTTTACGGTAGCCGTGCTTGATGGCGACTTGCAAGGGCGACTCGCACGCCTAACATCGCAAGTTTCCGATGTTTGCGCCGTTTTACGGACTTTTGCGTACCTTGTTCTCGATTGTCACGTCGGCGTGTGCTTCGAGGAGGAGGTCGACCATCGGGTCGTCGCCCTTGGAGGCTGCGACAAAGATCGCGGTCCGTCCTTCCTAGTCCAAAGTTGAGTGCCGAGTAAAAGTAGAAAAAATACCTTGTCGGTTTGGTTGACGTTGGCCCCGCCTGCCAAGAGCATCTCGACGAGCACGCTGTCGCCGTTCATCGTTGCGCGCGCGAGCGGCGTGTAGCCGTGCGCATTGGCGCCGTTGACATCGGCGCCCGCCACGAGGAGCATGCCCACGACGCCCTTGTGCCCGGCGGTGACTGCTAATAGTAGCGGACTCTGTCCGTCCTACGCCAGCATGAATATCCCATCGATAGAGTAGGAGGCACACGTACGGTGCCCGGGAGGTTGACGTCTGCGTTGCACGATAGCAGCATGCTCGTAATGGCTTCTTGGCCGTTGAAAGCGGCCATGCAGAGCGGCGTCATACCGCCCTACACACGCAAAAATGAGTACGCCAAGGAGGATCGAAGTCGATACCGGTGGGCCTTGGTTGACATCGGCCTTGGCCTGCAACAGCGTAATGATGGTCGGGAAATGGTCGAGTTCGATGGCGGCGATGAGCGGACTGCGGCCATTCTACCGCGCAGCTTCATTTCGCGCGTTCTTATTCAAGCGGGTCGCACCTCGTCGCCCTTGTTGACGTCGGCACCCGCGTCACTCAGCGTGCGCGTCATCTTGGCGTTCCGGCTCAGAACCGCCGTAAACAGCAAGCTCTCGCCGTTCTAAGATGGACGATTTTTGTCCACATCTGTCTTCTACATCGTCGCTGTACCGTGTTGATCGTATTGGGGCTCAAGCGCTCGTGGACGATCGTATGAAAGACTTGGTCGAGGTCGCCTTGCCGGACCGCGTCGACGAGCTACGCGTCATAGGCCATCAGTTCGTATCGAGTGGGAATAAGATCTACCTTGAACGCCATGATGTCTTCGAGGATCGCGCCCACATTGTCGTGGTTCTTCTCTTTGGCGAGCATCAGCGGAGTCCTCCCGGCCTAAGATTACGTTTCATTATACATCGTCGCACACATAGCAGCGCGGACCCTGGACTTGATGTTGATGTCGGCGTCGGCTTCGAGGAGGAGGGTCACCAAGGACGCGTGCCCCTTCTCGGCCGCGATGTGCAGTGGTGTCTGACCTTCCTGCGCCACGAGATATATAAGAACACAGAAGTCGCGAGAGAGCAACGTACATGGTCGGTTTGGTCGACGTTGGCGTTGGCGCCGAGCAGCAGCGACACCACGGCAGCGTGGCCCTTGACCGCGGCCAAATGCAAAGGCGTCCATCCCGCCTGCCGACACCAACGTAGTCGATACGATGGCACGAGTGAGTGATTACCTTGCTCGTGCTGTTGACGTCAGCGTTGGCCTGCAGCAGGAGCGACACGACCGCAGCATACCCGTTACAGGCTGCGACGTGCAGCGGTGTCCACGCATCCTGTATGATGCTCAGCTCCCACGATAGCAATATATATATGGACGTACCCCCCTTCGTTGGTCGACTCGGGCGTGGGCTGCAATGAGCAAGGCGACGACGGCGACGTGGCCCTTCTCCGAAGCCACGTACAAAGGCGTCCATCCTGCCTGCACTCCACATAAGACAATATTATCCATCATCGGAAACTACACACCTTGTCGTTCTTGTTGACGTCGGCGCGCGCATGAAGGAGCAGCTGGACGACGCTGTCGTGGCCGTTCCACGCTGCAATGTGCAGGGGCGTCTGGCCCACCTGTCGGTGGCGTGAGAATTGAAAGTGAAATTAGAGAGGTGTACGGTATCGATCTCGTTGACGTCGGCGTGGGCGTCGAGGAGGAGTGAGACAACGCGCAAATGGCCCTTGACTGCCGCCAAATGCAAAGGTGTTCGATCCACCTGCAGCCATAATGGCGGCTTGCATCGCGGACGATCGCGTGTACCTTGCTAATGCGGTTGATGTCGGCGCGGGCTTGGAGCAATAGCGCGACGACGGCGGCGTGGCCGTTGAAGGACGCACTGTGCAGCGGTGTCCATCCGTCCTAAGTAGGCGCGGTGACGCCAAGTCGAGTGTAGGATGTCGTACCCGTCGGCCCTTGTTGACGTCGGCGCGGGCCTGCAATAAGATTGCAACGACCTTATCGTGGCCATTCCAGGCTGCGATCAAGAGCGGCGTCTGGCCCACCTGCTCAAACAATGAGTCGCGTGCATCGCTGTACGTTCGTACGCGATCGCTGCGGTTGATGTCGGCGCGCGCCTGCAGAAGCACGGACGCGACTGCGTAGTGGCCCTTGGCTGCCGCGAGGTACAGCGGCGCATGGCCTTCCTATGACGCACACGCGTCGATCGTGCGGTCGTCGGGCGCGTCGTACCTCGTCAAAGCTGTTGGGGTCGAGGCCGGCGTCGAGCAGCTTGGTCACGTCATAGAGGTTACCGTCCTTGGCGGCCTGCGCCAGGCGCACATCCTGCGTCACACGCGCGTTAGCTACGCCGCTACTGCCTCGTCATACCTTCCGGGACCAGAACCATGACATCGTGCTAATGACTGTCGAGCGCGCACGCCGTGTCATCCGGATAATCGCGCGCCGCGTGTCTCTTCCCCTACTTAGTGACATGTGGCGAAACTATCACCTAGCGTTAAGGACATTTGGCGATTCAGCAAGTGATATAAAAGGTATGGCGCGCGCAAGCGCCACACATAGCGGCGAGCACGACGACTGGCGGGCGACAGAGAGGAGACTTGGCGGCGGCCACGGTGTCGACCAATCGACTTGAACTGCAACGCTATCCTGCAGTATAAAAACGACAGCGCCTGTCCGCACCCGAGTAGCCATTGGCAGCAAGCAAACACGCAGGAACGTCGTCTCCGATGAGCTGCGTGAGCGCGCTTGCACAGGCTCTTCAAGGCGGAATGGCCGATAGTGGGTCGCGCGACCGGGACTTAGCGTGTCGTACAAAAAACAGGAGCAAGATCGAGGCCACGACGCCCGAAGCAGCGAAATCGGTCGCCGCACGGAATGCAGTGGTAGCTTGGTCCGGCTCGCGCTGGAAATTCATTGTAAATTCGACACGAAATCGTTGGCGCCGAATTGCAGCCGACGAATCTCAAACTGGAAGCGCCGTCCAAGAACCGACAAGGGAGCAGTTGATCTAGCACGTCTTGGTCTGTGGGCGGGATACGCGGCAGCGACGCTTTCTATCACCTTTTCGCGAACGTCACTAAAGCGGGGCGGTCGTATTTTTTTGCGTCCATATACATTCCACCCAACGCGCGAGCAAATAAAATGGAATGTGGGCGGTCGGGGACGGACGACAGACGCTCGCTTGGCGTCACCGCGCCAGCGTCATTACTGCGTGCTAGCGTCACGGGCCTTGCCTTCAAGTGCGTGTGCGAGCTGCGCCGTCCATTGAAAGGATCCGAGTCGTATTGGCTTCCTGGTGAAGACGGGTCCTTACGGTACTTGCTGGAGGACAGGCTGACTAGCACCGACGTGTCCACGCACCGACACAACATCGGTGCCGCTTGCGTGCACTTTAGTAAATGGACTAGAGACCCAAGCGAAACGCTCGAATCTGGTGGTTACACGTGCGCACGACGTCACGTGATACAGAGCATTTGCAGCCGCACAATGCGACCAGCTTGTGATACAGCAGGTGCAACACTGCGAGGCACGGCCGACGCGCCACGAGATGCCACGTCCAAGCTCGGCGCTAGTTGACAGAGGTATGGGATAACTTAGCTGGCGATGGCCTTCGCAAGCAGGGACGGCGAAGCACGCCGAAGTCAAGTACGAACGAGCGTTCGGTGCACATCCCCGAGAGAACGAATTAAAAGAAAAGCATGGACGACGAATATATATATATTCATGTCACAGAGCTGCACCAGTGCTCGGTCCCTGCAAACGGTCATAGCGTGACCAGCAGCGGACTCGAACCACCGGATAACTTGGGCGAGAACGACGACCAGAGGTATTTGCTGGCGTGAGCAGGTACACGTTGCCTCTTTCAGCACCTCGAGTCGGTTGCTATGCATGGCCCCAGAGATCTCTGGTCGCATGAGGCGCGTCACCGTCACGCTTGGTGGTCGTACTAGAGTTAGGTCCATTGAGATAACTTTCTAGTTCGGCGGATACGGCGGAGGCCCGTCGGGTATCCGGATACTGAATACTCTGTTTCCGCGAATGAGCGTGCCCCAATCGCGCTCGGTTGCTGCATTTCAGCCAATCCGGAGGCTGCATTTCTGCGACATGCCAACCAATAAAGATGCAAGACCGTGGCAGCGACGCGCTTCTGCCCGCCGAGGCAGCGTGGGCTCTCTCGAGGCCATCCTCGCTGAAGGCGTCGAGCCTGATGCGGCGCTCCTTGTGGTATAGCCCATCCGCTCTGCGCTCCATGACGACACGTCTGGGATAGGACGGTGCGTCCGTGCTGCACGTGGCCGTCGCGTCGGGCAACCTCGCAGCCGCACGGCTTCTGCTGGCGGCCGGCGCTGACATCAATCGACCCGACACGGTACAGCGCTTCGCCATATACCGTGGCTTGTCACGACGCTGCGTAGCGCCAGCATTCGCCTCTCTATCGCGCAGCGTTCCGTGGCGACGAGGCTATGGTACGCCTCCTCCTCCATTCCAATGCCAACGTCGACCAGCCCACAAGTGTACCATCGAACCATCAGGACAATGCTCTAGAGAGCGATGACACCTGCATGTAGCTTGACGAGACGCCGCTCATGGCAGCAGCGCAAGAGGGACACGTGGCGATCGTCGCGCTGCTGCTGTCCAGCCATGCACAGGTCGACGCAACCAACTGTGTACTCGACGGACACGTTGTCGATCAATATCACTCATGGCGACGGCGTAGTACGGCGAAACAGCGTTGTACTGGGCGGCCGCGCGGGGTCATGCCGACGTTGCCGCCCTTTTGCTAAGCGCCAACGCCAGTGCGACCTTGCGCACGCCGGTTCCTTCTGCAGCTGCGAATCCAGCACACACCTCTTCGACTGTAGATGGGCCGGTCCCCGCTCCTCGTCGCCGTCCAAGGCAAGGCGTTGGACGTTGTCGAGCATGTGCTGCTGCATGGACCGCTCGACAGAGAAGTACATCTCCGAGTCTGCAACCCTTTATTTGAACCAGCCGCTAGGATGTGCGTGACGCTGCGCTGCTGGCGCTGCGAGATCATTCGGATCCTGTGCTCGTGACGCGCCTCCTGCATGCGACCGTTCGCCCGGTGCGTCGACGTTGCTGTCTGCTGCGTGGATGTGACCAGAGCGTAGACGCACTGGGAAGCGGTTAAAGCGATTCTGGTGACGCGCACTCAAAGTGACTCGGTGCGAGGTTGAGAGAAGCGACTCGTGCTGATGACGCTGGCTCGTAGAGCTTTGCAAATGCGCTGTTGACCATGGTACACTCAGTGTACAAGAGCAATACAAGCGCGCCTGTAGCCGCCTACGCTCCACCTCTGCGACAAAATGCTGCGTGCGCTGGCCAAGGTACTGACGCGACACGGACGGCTTGGACACTGTGTGATGACGTAGGAGGTCGTGGCGGCACGTCGTCGTCCTAGTGCATAGGACGCATCCGCCCAAGGAGCGAGTTCTGTGAGATCAGGTCTCGGCCTTCTTTCGCGATGGGACTGGTCGCTACCGACGGCTACGCAAGCGAGACCAAGTATTCCGAGTGTACACATACGAAGATTCGTACCATAGTCGTCCAGAGCGGGCGGTCGGTTCGCAGCCGAGTACATATAGCCCTTCAGTTTAGTGTTTTTACTTAGTAGAATGCAAACAGCAAAGCGAGAAAGAGCTATTTCGCAGAAATCTCAACTAGTGAAGTTGTGCAGCGATGGTAGCAGGTGCACGACCAAGGTCGGTGGAGACGGTCTCTCCGACTTGGGAGTTGTACAACCTGCTGGACAAGACCTGTGGTGAAGGACCCGGTGTTACCTGCCCCGACGCCTGTCCTACCTGGATCCCACACGGCCAACCTGGACATTTCTTCTCTACGGTCCTATCAACTCGCCAGCGATATACGCTCACATGGGAATGACTTCACTACCGTCGAAGCTTCGCACATACTCTGCGAGATGCGCCCGCACCGGCATTTCCATACAAAAAACAAGTGGAACGGCAGAGCCATCGTGAGTCGACTCACGAATCGTGTTAGTGCACTGCTGTCCTACTGGCCAATATACGATCAAATGGGCGTCGGAGTATTGGGGCCGAAAGTCGCTGATAGCCAATTAGCCACTTTATCGGCACGACGCCGCTCCGCTGGTTCACGTCCCAAGATCTTCACAGACGAAGCCGTGGTCGCTGTGTGGGGTGACATAGCCACTCGATGCTGCAAGGCAGCCACGCAACTCGCATGCTTTGAAACCAACGTTGACACCCGCTGCCTCGACGGCAATATGATTAACGCCACAGCGAGAGACAAGGCGCTGTACGGCGTCCGCCCATCCGGTGCGCTCTCCAAGGGCTCGCTCACCAGCCTCGCTCAAGGCACTGTGTCGTGGGCCAAGGTGGCTGGCGCACCGACGCTCAGCACGATGGCTGTCGGCGGTGGACGTCTTTGTGGCGTCACCAAGGCCGACAAGACGATGGACGATATCAACTGGAAGACGCTGCCAACTGGCGCACGTTGCCGTCTGTGGCAGCACCGTGTTTGGCTCAGCGACAAGCTCAGCTCGTATACATCCCAGTACTAACTTGGACAACAAGACCTAGTCTTTGGCTTCCTTTTTCGGAGCCGCTTTCTTCTCGGACTGCGTCTTCTTCTCCCGGTACCGCCGCAATTCCTCCCTACTTGGCATCAGAAACCCCGCCGCACCTTCAAAGTCGGAGCACCGCTTCTGACGTCGCATGGCGTCGATGGCGGGGGACGGGAATTTCTCTTCTGCGTCGTCCTTCTCGTCTTCGACGACGTCCGTGCTGAGATCCGGGACTAGCCATCATAGAGGTCTACTGCTGCCAGGGCAACTGTTGAGAGTACGGTTGGGTGTCGGCGGGTAGAGCTCGGCCGTGAGTTTGAGCCACATTTTGAGTCGCTTCTCGAGACTGCCATCGTCAAAGTCCTGCGGCCGACTGCCTTTCGGCAAGCCAATGTCTTCGAACGAGTCGGCGCCTACGTTGCGTGTCATGGCGGTGCTGCTGCTTCAAGTGAGGTACCCACCAGCAGGGACAAAGACGGCTTTGGCCGGATCGATCTCCTTGGTCGTTTTGCCTTCGGTGTGGAACACGTGGGCGTTCACACACGTTCGAAACTAGATGCACCATTGATTTACTAAAGAAAGGGAAGGACGAACCTGAGCGCCGAGGGCCTTGTCCTTGAGACTCGTAAATTGCAGCGTCGCACCAAAGGTATGGGCAAGGTACCGCAGCGCCTGTACGATGCCCTTGCGCTTGACCCTATGTTCGCATCATGTATCTCAATACCCGAGTACTTTTTCTACCATGTACCCGTCTTCGTCGCGAAACGCGTCAAACTTGGAGCAGACAATGAGCGTCGGGATCGCGAGCGGGGCCACGTCCTTCTTGTCAGGGTGGGTCGGGCCGTACCGAGCGACGGCGTCCTCCTTGAGCTTCTCGACGGCAGTGGCAGTCGCAGGCGCTTTGGATGCAGCGGCTAGCACGTCAGTGGTGACCGACTTGAGCAGCGTGAGCCACTTGACGAGCCAGGGCACTGCGTCGCCCGGCGTCGAGAGGTCGACGACGACCATGAGAACGGCGTTCGCGACGCGGTCTGGTGACAATGGCACACACAGTAGGTCCTTGACGCGCTTGGTTGCCGCTACATCCAGCGTGAATGCGTGCTCGAGAGAGACAGGCGGACGCACCGAGCTCCCAGAAATGCGCGACGGTCTTGCGATTGGAGCCGGGTGCAGCGCGCCTCGCATAGTAGTAGTCGAGCGCGGCCGTGGGCTTGGGCTCGTCGACTAGCCAAAGCGCTGAGCGTGGCACAAGAGGTTACGGTGTACCTTTGGTTGGGTTGCGAAAGTACATGATGAGCGACGACTTGCCGCTGTTCTTTGGCCCAACGACGAGCGTGTACGAGTCGTCGCCTTCCTTGTTGCTGCTATCGGACGGCTCGTCGCTGTTGTCCATGGCCGAGAGCACGGCGAAGATGTCCTTGCCGCTAGTCAGCGC